TATATATATATATATATATATATTCAGTCATTACTATTGCTTAATATTTACATTAGTCCGTGTTGTTCAAAGATTAGTTTTATGTGATGTTTTAAATGTTTTATTCGGTACATCATATAAGAGCTGCTCATACTCATTGTGAAGTTTAACTGTAACAAAGTATGTAATTCTTTATCTGGAATGTGGTTTGTGTGTCTTCATCAGTCACAGGTCCTCTGTCAAGGGACTGTTCTGTTAAGTTTTTTATTTGTTTATAAAATTACAAAAATACACACAAGTACAAATTTTACAACTTTCCACACAAAGAGATGTGATCTTCGATTTTTCTTATTCAGATCACATGCATTTTAATTCATATCAGTGTTGCAGGAGGGGAGCATAAAGGCGCTCACGCTGAGATCTCGCGAGATCAAACGATAGTTCACCGTTTTAACAGGGGTAGGAAACCCCGTACCATCCTCTTTCCTTCGCTGTCAACAAGCGAGGTAAAATGCCGTTTACACTGATCCCGTTTATTTTGCCTTTATTTGTGTAGTAATGCTTTCATATGCGTTTGTACTGCTCGCGAATAGAATAGAAATGGAGTATTTTATGTGGCTCAAGCTTTCTGCTGATGAAATGATATCATTTGGGTGTTTTTCGGGGCTTTTATTAAGATGCTGGGCTCAAACGAGCGCTTACAGTCATGGCTGCCTCCATGCGACCATGTTGCGGCCTGCTAGCATAAATGGTAACTATCGCTCTGTTGGCTGCATTGTAGTGTTCTGGTTATTAAAGGATTGTCGGAAGAAGATTTAGTTTCTTTTAAGTATATTATTGATAGCCAACCGACGAAACCGGTGACTACTTTCTTTAGTTCCACGAGCTCGCTTGTTAGCTCGAACGCTAATGCCGGTTATAAGTGCGTGAGATTCCGGAGCACCATTTCATAAAGTCAATAGTCTATAGATTTTTGCGGATATTTTCTACGTAGTGTTCCTGTAATGTAAGTTGCTTTATCTCGTATAAGAAGGAACAAGGGGTCCAGATTATATTTTTAAGAGCCCACGTTATTTGAACGACCGGTATAAGTTGCACGAAACTGAAGCGTTCCATAAATTGCGTCGCCAACTGTAAGCGGTCACTGTTAAGATAAATTAAACTCAAGGCTGTATCTTTTTCTTTTTTTTTTAGGTGCCGGGTGTCACAGAGAGAGATGTAAACCAACGGGAGTTTGTCCGCCCTGGCGGCATTCCTGAAGAAGTGAGTATTTGACATTGTATAGTAATATTCTTCTTTTTGCCGTATTGAATTGACCACCTACAGTTGAGCTTGTGTCCTCATTGCCGTTTAATAATATTGTGTAAAACTTATTTATGGAGTGATGGGTCCATATTTGCCTTTTCGTTGAATTCAGGTCAGGAAAGCTGAAGGTGCCAGACTGGGTGGACCTGGTCAAGCTCGGTAAACACAAAGAACTGGCCCCCAGTGATGAGAATTGGTTTTACATTAGAGCAGGTATGTGTTTTTTTGTTTGTTTTGGACCTGACTGTGATACAAAAGTATAAATGTTTTTATCATTTTAACCAATCTGTTAGCTGATCTTTCAATTCCTGTTTTAAGGCAGTTGTGTTTGTATTTTTTTTTTTTTTAATAAGAAGAGTTATTATTGAGTTTTCAATTAGAAAGGTGCTCATTTGCTATATCTGCAACAATGCTACTCACACAGCTATTTGTTTGTGATAGATTGCTAAATGTGGTTATCATTCATGATGTAGTTTCAAGTAAACTGTAGTGCAAAAGAAAGTACTATTGAGAACAAATTACAAAAGAAAATTTGTAGAATTACATGACAAAATGTGTAAATATGGCTTAGAAACAAATTTAAGTGAGAAAAATAAAATGTGGACATTTCTATGTATATTAACATGTGCACCAGTAGAATGCTACACGACCAACATTGTGGAAAAAAATATGCCAATTCGTGCCTGTTTCTTCAGTCTTTTAAAATAAACAAGGAAATGTAAAGTAGTGGCATTTAAAATGACCAAAGCTCAGAACAAATAAATCGTCTGCATACTTGTGGATCATCTGCATAGTTTCATTATTTATTACCTTCAAATCAAGTTGCACAAGAAGCTGATTGCATTTGTAAAAAAAAAAATTTTTTTTTTTGCTACACCCGTAGCATCCACCGTTCGCCATCTGTACCTTCGTGGCGGTGCTGGTGTTGGCTCCATGATCAAGATCTATGGAGGTCGCCAGAGGAACGGTGTATGCCCTTCTCACTTCAGTGTAGGATCTAAGAACGTAGCTCGTAAGGTGCTGCAGGCACTCGAGCTGCTGAAAATGGTTGAGAAGGATCCCAATGGGTGAGTGGCTTGGTATTTTACCTTTTGTGGAGTTTTTATATAGTGCTTTTAATTTATTCTGTTAAATGTATTTATAGTTATTATTTAAAAAAAGCATATTTTAACATGAGGTGTACAAATGCAGACATAGGTGTAATCCTAAGATTTATTTTGTTTGTTCATGAACAAAGCATAAGTCTCATCTGAACATGTCTTTATCCATGGAAACTTTACTGTTTTTTAACACTTTTTTTTTTGCCCCCACAGCGGTCGCAGACTGACCTCCCAGGGAACCAGAGACCTGGATAGAATTGCTGGGCAGGTGAGAATCTCTTCTGGGAAATATTAACATGTATATTTTATAGGTCTATTTACTGTTGAGCAACTAATTTATAATAAGGAAGGGATTCATTTGTTTGTTTTTTTAGATTTTTACTCTTTTTTTTTTTTTTAAAGGGATTCTTTTGGGTTTTTTTTTAGATTTTTACTTTGTTTTTTTAAAGCTGTACAAGCTGTAACCTCACTTTGTTTAATTTTTTTCAAGATGTTGAAATATCTTACATATTAGAACCTCTAAACATTTAATAGTTGACTTTGGTGCATGAATAAGAGAGATAATAAAAGTGATTGAAACTTTGGTCTTATGTTGACCATTGTACTTCAGTGTGGTCTTAACACTGCTTGAAGAAACTCTTCAGTATTGGCCTCAGCATTCTGACATTTGCACTAATATTTAGTTTGACATTCCCTGGTTCTGCATTGAAGCTTGTCATCACAGAATAATCATCCATCTGCTTTGGTGCAACACGTGTTTGAGGCATGCACAACCCCAGTGTCATTTAAAAAACCGCATGAGCAAATTTATTTGTTTTTGTTTTTTTTCTTTCTTTCTTTTGACTGGACAACTGCAGTGTTCACCAGTGCTAGAAAAATCAGAGTGGCAGAAAAAGCATTGATAGTCCAGGAGTAAAGTTGGTTTGAAGGAGGGGAGGGGGTTCATGGTTGGCAGAACTGCCGGATGGCACCAGTTTTCTCCTTGTTTGTTTATGTTAATAAGCTGTATGAAGGCGAGTAAACCTGGGCTGTCCCCCAACTGCCTGCTACGCAACACCGACAGTAAATATGTTGGGGTTCCATGCATATCTCCCTTGTCTATTTGGTTTGCACTAGATGTAAATTGAGGTGTTTGGCATTTACATAAGGAGGAATAAAACTCCGTATGACCATCTCTCATTTGCTGAGGCTATGAATCAAAATATAATATACTACTCCTTGGTTTCTGCAAGCAATGGTGTACATGTTATGTAAAACTTTTTTTATAGCTGTTAGTCGGTTGACCTGTCACAATTGATGTCTGCCCTTCAGCTCACTTCTGTGGCTTTATCATCTGAAGCAGCCTGTGTTTAAGGGTGTACATGTTATGTAAAACTTTATTTATAGCTGTTAGTCGGTTGACCTGTCTTATACAATTGATAATGGTAAAGGATTTTTTTTTTTATGATTCTAACTTGCACTGTTCATGAATGCTTCTAATGTATGTCTTTCCTGTCCCATAGGTTGCAGCTGCAAACAAGAAAACCGTGTAATAAATTTTTTGACTAAATCAGATACTGGCTTTTTTGTCTTTTTCTCCCAGCTCTAACAATGTGTTAGTCTGAAGACTGGCTGTCTCCTTAGTAGTCTTTAGCAGATCACATTAATATACGTATATTGTCCAAGACTGGTTTGTTGATGAGAAAATAAAGTACAGTAAAAATATTAACTTTTTTTTGTAGAGTCCTTTGATAATGAATTATTAAAACAGGTTTCTTGCGACTTGCAAGACCTTCCTGTACACTTAGAGTTGGGTTACATTGATTAGGGAAAAGTAGATATCCAATTTGGTCTCTATTTACAAAACCATTAAATTAGTTTAAGACTGCTTTATAAATGCTTGGAACTTAATAGTGAGATTTCACCTTGAGCAGTTTGTAATCACAGTGCCATCTACAGATTCTTCACAGCCAGGACTGTCAGTTTCGGCTTGGAAGCTTGACTAAAATGATGAAAGTATTTTAGTCGAGGCTTATAGTGGCTTGGAAGCCCGACTAAAATGAAAGTATTTTAGTCGAGGCTTATAGACATTACACTTTATTTTAGGATAATGTTTAATTTCGAACAGTTTCGATTTAAATTTTGTTGCAGGCCTTTAATTTTAATTTGTGCTTCCCTTAAAAGAAACCAACCTACGGACTTAAAATGTGTGTTCTTTTGACATACTGCAGAGGGTGCCAAGGCACAGAACATCGTTGCCAGTTGAGCACATGGGTGGTTCACCCGGGATGTCAGAGTTAGCAGATGATGGAAAAGGGACTGATTTAAGTAAGGTAAACTCATCTATTTTTGGATCTGTTTTAGTTTGAACTGATTAACTACAAATATGGCACTTAAAATATTTAAATTTTGTCTTCGTTTTGGTCCTTGTTCATATGTATTATATTTTTAAGACGCCGGAGTCAAAAAGATTAAAACCAAGCAAATAAAGAATGGGAATATTTGGTATATTTATCCAAATTGATGTTAGCAAAATGC